AGGCCTCGCCCCCGTGCCCGCAAAAACGGACAAGCGTGCGCACAGCTACGGGGTGGGCAGGCGCTTTGAAGCGGCCCTGCCTGTTCAGCAAACATACTCAGAGACCCTTTCTTTAAAAAGTGTAAGTACCCCCTCAGCCCTACGCTAGCAGGAGCTGTGGTTTGGTGTTGGTGTAGAAGTTCCCCGTGTAATTATGATCAGGCCAGGGCTGCTACTACAGATGAACGGAGAGCAGGGTAACAAAGGAGCGGACAGTGCTGTGGCTGTGTGTGTAACAGCTTTGCAGAAGTCGAGTGGATCTCGTGGTCCTGTGTCCTCTGCCCATGCAGTTCAGCAATGCCTGAAGAGATTTATTACGTGCTCTGTGTATGCCTTCTAAGGTTTTGTAAATAGGGCTGAAATAATTTTTTGTCCTTAATTTGAATTATAATCTTTCTTCAGGGAGAGGAAAAAAAAAAAACAGACACAGAGTCTGTGTGTACACCATTCTATAGTTAACCCCCTTATCCATAGCTACGACCCTAAATATTTTTAGTAGCAAAAGGAGGGGGCTGGGCTGGGCTGTGAGCTCCCTTGTGGAGTGGCTGGAAGTGACGGAAGGGGTGACTCAGGGAAGAGTTTTTTCCGGCAGGCGCCTGGGTCCGGGCAGGCTGCTGCAGTGTGTGCTCTGGAGCAACGGCGATGAACAGTGGGGATGAGAGTAGCGTGGCAGAGATTTTGAGATGAGGTGACCGTTAGCGCTTCTACAGCTGGACATCTCTAATGGTTCTTCTTGTTTGGGGTCAGAATCAAAGCTTTTAGGCTTTTCCCGTGCCTGGATGTTTCTCTCTTCTTTTTGGAAATGAAGAAGCTGTGCCTTTAACGACAGAAAAACAGAGTGCTGTAACTGTCATCAGGCTGGCTGTAAATATATGTATATGCATGTAATATGTAATAGGGATGACTTACAGCTGAATTCTCTTTCGCGTAAGTATGTGCTGCTCCAGCTGGCTTCACTGAGAGTCAGGCACGCCTGTCTGTAGTGGGGAATTTAACTCTTAATGGTATGGGTTCTCTTTTTTGTTTAACAAATGTAAATGTTCCAAAGACCAGCCTCTGTTTAGATCTGGGGGATCCAGACATCCAAGCCTTTTTGGAGCTCCATCAAACGTTTTTAAGTGAATGACTGTCTTTTTAAATAAGTGTATATTTTCACTGACATAAAATATTGCCCAAGAGGAGGAGCTGTGGCATGCTCCTGAGTTATAAAGACCAGCTCACTCTGCCTTGTAAAGCCCTGGGAAGTATCTTTTTGTTTTACTGTTAAAACCCAGATGAAAAGGAAGTGTGAAAAGAAACTAAGACTTGGGGTTATTATTACAGTGGGATGTGATGATTAATTACTTGGGGCTGAATTTTTTTCTTCCTCGTTTCCTTTCTTTCTGCCTCTCCCTCCCCTTTTCGCCCCCCCCCCATTAGTTAATTTGACCTTATTAGGGCCAGCGAGAGCTTTTGGTCCTCGGGAGAGGAAGGGTCAGGCCTTCTTTACAGCGGTAGAAAGATGAGAGCCTGTGAGCAGTTCTATGCAGCGGAAGCTCCTGGAGGATGGAGGCCTGAGCGGTAACGCTAAAACAAACGCGTATTTGCCACTCGTTAACAATTTAAACTAGTGTTTCTGTATTGCTTGGTTGTTTAAGCTCCTCTCAGAGATAGGAGAGAGGCCAGTTATCCGGGGATGATGTCTGTAATTTTTTTTTTTTTTAATTACGATGTAATCCCGTTCAGCCGTAATCCCTGCCGCGGGGAGGGGGGGGGGGGGGGGG